GAAAGAAAGAAAGAAAGAAAGAAAGAAAGAAAGAAAGAAAGAAAGAAAGAAAGAAAGAAAGAAAGAGAGAGAGAAAAGCTAATTTGCAGGCTCAAAGTTCTCTGGTTTCTAAAGATGGGACAAGCTAAAATGAAATGAAGCTAGTAAAGTCAGTCAGCCCTGGGCAGTGGGTTTTCATCGCGGATGAAACCAACCCCTGGTTTGTCAACCGCTGAGGAAACCCACTCTGGGAGCAGGGAGTGGGCGGGGGCTTCGTGTGAGCTGCCCTGGTGCCTCTATGCCCCCTTCCTACGTGGCTTCTTCTCTAGGTCAGTTTTGTCCCCACTTTGTCTGCAGCTTCCGGTCTGAACTGCTGTGCACCCCTCGGCAGGAGGCTTTTACCTCAGCCAGGCTGATGAAGATGATGAAGAGCGGCGGGGGGAGGCAGTTGGCTCTCTCCAGGTATGTTCTTCGGGCTGGCTCAGGGAGCATCCACTTAGAGACCATCCTGTGGACCTTTCTGCTCCTGGGGAAGGCTTTACTTTCCCCGTCCTCTCTCATTTTCTCCTCCTCCTGCTCTTCCTTTCCCTCTCTCTCCGTGTCCAGATTCATGCTCTCCATCTCCACATTGTGAGCAGCAGCCATTGTCCTGGTCCTCCCTCCACCTAAAACAGACAGAAATGTCAGGGGAAGCAGGGTGAGCCTTGGGGTCCACAGGCTGTGGCTCTTTCCTGGGATCTTTGGGAAAATGTTTGTTTTCCTGGTCCTTGCTGTGTGTAGCAAGGAGGCAGCTAAAGACGACCAAAATGGCCTAAATCACCTAAGTGGCCCCAAATGATGTTTTCACTGTATTGTTTTGCAACTGTTTTAAAACACAGGGATTTGGGGCAGGTGAGACAGGTTGTGTGTGTGTGTGTGTGTGTGTGTGTGTGTCTTTCTGTCTCTCTGTGATAGCCTAGTAGAAAACAAAGAAACAAAAATCTTGCTACAAAACCTCCACATGTTCATTGTGGTACACACCCACGCAATAAATAAATTAAAAACCTTTTTAAAGCAGGGAATTTAATGCTCACAGACGCTAGATGTGTAGTAAACTCTGTGTGTTCTTTCCTTTATAAACAAAACAACAGCAATAAGAAGCCATGGGCCAGTGAGGTAACTCAGTAGGTCAGGGGGTCTGCTGCCAAGCTGGATGACCTGAGTTCAGTGTGGTTGCTCTGTCATCCCAGCACTGGATGGTGGAAGCAGAAGTTCAAGGTCATCCTCTGCTGTGTAGCCAATGGGAGGTCACCCTGAGATACAGGAGACCAGTCTCAAAGCCAAGGTTAAAAAAAAAACAGTCCGTGCTGAGGGTGTCAACATGGCCTATAGTTCTAACACTCAGCAGACTGAGGTAGGAAGAGCACATCAAGGCCCGGCGTGTGAGACCAGCTAGACTGCAGCTCAGCAATAGAAAAGCCAAGTTCTTCCATGTAAGGGTACTTCCTGGGAGCCAGACACGTTAACCCCCAATCACTTCTTCATTATTTATTTATTTATTTATTTATTTATTTATTTATTTATTTATTTATTTATTTTGGGGCAAGGTTTCTCTGTGTAGCCTTGGCTGTCCTGGACTCACTTTGTAGACCAGGCCTCAAACTCACAGAGATCTGCCTACCTCTGCCTCCTTGAGTGCTGAGATTACAGGCATGTGCCTCCACACCCAGCTCCAAATTAGTGTTTTAAAACTATGGTAAATACCAGGAAAATTGGGCTCAGCATCTAGCCTGATGACTTGAAATCCGTTCCTAGAACCAACATGGTAAAGGAGAGAATTGACCCCCTCTGCCTACAAAATAAATAAATGTAAAAAATATATATATATAGCGACATAAAACTATGTTAACCATTTAAAGCATACAATTTGGTGATACTGATTGTGCTTACAAATGTTGTGTGATCATTGACATGCTCTGGTTCCAAAAGGTTTTCATCACCCTTAAAAAAAAAAAAAAACCCACACACATTAAGCAGTCACTGTCTCCCGTATAGTCTCACCCTGGTCTCTTCCAACCACTAATCTGCTTCTGCGAACAGACAACGTCTGGACAGTTTGTGGAAATGGGATCCTGTGTTTTCTTGCTTGCTTCTGTCACTTACCATGTTTTCAAGAGGCATCTATGCTATAGCATGAACTACAGTTTTCTTTCTTATCTAATGAACACATAGCAATGCGTAGCCACCTCACATCTGGGCCACCCACTCGTCTGTTGAGAGACAAGTTCTTTCCGCCTTTTACCTACTGTGAGTAAGCTGTAGAAACATCCCTGCACAAGGCTTTGTTTAAACACCTATCTTTAGTTCTTTGGTGCATATAACCCACATGCTGAGTTGTGGTAATTCCAGGCTTCACTTAATAGGTGGTGGCCCTAAGATTCCATTCTGAAGTAGAGATGGTTTGGGCTAATGTATAAAAGACAGCTGGACAATGGGTGGATGGATAGATAGATGATGGATGGATGGATGGATGGATGGATGGATGGATGGATAGATGGAAATGTTAAATGCAGGGCCTATTTTCACAAGCAACTCATTGGGAATCAGATCAAATCCACCTTATTTCCAGAAGGCTCTCCTTGGGCATGACTCAATGGGTTACACTAGGTGAATTCACGAAGGTAGCAAATTCTTTCTACTTTATTTCTCTAGGACTTTTTTTCTTCTTCTTCTGAAAGCAAAGTCTCTTTCACACCCTGGCAACCTTCTGCCCTCTCACTCACACATGATCCAGGGTCAGACATTAAATTCATATATATAGTAGCTATTCTGTTATTTTTTTCTTAAAACTTAATAGTCTTTTCTAGTTCTTGCCACTTTGAGAACAGGAGTGGGGATGAGAAGAGTACTGAGATGGGGTCTTGTGTAGCCTAGACTGGCCTAGAATTCACAACCCTTCTGCCTACCTCTCTTTTTTTGTTGTTGTTGTGTTTTACTTTGTTTTGTTTTGAGACACAGGATTTCTCTGTGTATCCTTGGCTCTCCTAGACTCACTTTGTAGACCAGGCTGGCCTCAAACTCTCAGAGATCCTCCTGCCTCTGCCTCCCTGAGTGCTGGGATCACAGGCATTCACCGCTGCACCCAGCCTTTCTGCCTACTTTTTTAAAATGACAAAACAGCAGTGCAGCCTTGAGACCGGCAGCTTTCTGTCCTAAGTACCAAAGCATTTAAATAAGTTCAGGGCTGGGAATGTAGCTCAGCAGTAAAGTGCTTATGTCCGTAAGCATGTTATGGGGGGGGGGACCCTCAGCCCTGTGAACAAACAAATGTGTCTAATTAGGAGTTATTATCCTCGTAGGAAGCAGCCCCGTTATAAATTTAATTACTATATATGATCACTGTATGAGGGAATAAATTTCCACATTGTCGACAATGCAGCTTTATATTTACAAAAGGAACCAGAAAAATAAGGATGACATGTTTGGATTAGATTCTATACCATCTTGGCACAATCTAGAGTATCTGAGAAGAACTTCAACTGAAAAGATCTCTCTATAAGATTAGCCTGTGGGCCAGTCTGTGGTGGTGCAATCCTTTAATCCTGGCACAGGGGAGGCAGAATTAGGCAGATCTTGTGAATTCGAGGCCAGCCTGGTCTACAAAGCAAGTCAGGACAGCCAGGGTTCTGTCACACAGAGAAACCCTGTCTCAAAAAAACAAAGCAAAACAAACAAAGAAAAAATTAGCCTGTGGGCAAGTGTAAGGGGCGTATTTCTTGACTGGTAATTGACGTGGGCAGGCCCAGCCCACTGTGGGGTGCTCCCACTCCTGGGTAGGTGGTCCTGGGAAATATAACAAAGCCAGCTGAAAGAGCTGTGACGAACAAGCTAGTAAGCAGCTCTCTTTCACCGTCTATGCTTTGGTTCCTGTCCTGACTTCCCTTCATGATGAACTGTAAGCTGAGAGAAACCCTTTCCTCCCCAATTTGTTTTTGGTCATAGAGTTTTTTTCACAAATATAGAAGCCTAAAATACGTTTTTAGATTTTTCTCTTCCTTCAGATTTCAAATATAGAGCCAGGCTCGGTGGCACACCAGGGGAGGCAGAGGAAGGTAGATCTCTGTGAGTTCCAGCCACACAGAGAAACCCTGTCTCGGAAACAAACAAAACAAAACAAAACAAAAATCAGATTTCAAAATGTCCAGAAGTTTTATGACTTTCAAGCTCACCATGTTAGCTATGTAAATGCCTGTATATATACCCTGTGATGAAAAGATACCAGGTCTACTCAGAAGAGCCAAGACCATTCATGTCTGTGCTCTTCCCTGGCATTGAAGGGAGGTGATCAGATACAGAAACCTAGCAGTTTGGGGCTGTCACAACAGACCGGCAGAACACAGAAATCTGCCTGTCTCTGTCTTCCAAGTGCTGGAACTGAAGCCATGCACAACCACACCAGACTTTTAGGTTTTGTTTGTTTTACAGCACATATGATATCAATTTCTTATCACCCCTCTTGGCCGTCCATCCTGCTTGGGCCTCCCTACCTGTCTACCTCTCTCTGATTGATCTTATCTCCATCATCGAGGCCTGCAGCACTTACACGTGTCCTTTCCAAGTCTCTGCCACCCTCCCATTCCTCCTACTCCTCTTGATCTCTGCCACCCCTGAATTTCCGAGTGCAGTTAGGTACCTTGGGTATATTAGCAACCATACTGGAACTGTGAAAAAGACCGGTGAGTCCATACATACCTAGGAGGAGGTATGGAAATGAAGGCAGTATGTGAGGTACAAATTGATGCAGCCTTGCGACCAGGTGTCCTCTCTAAACATAAAAACAGTCGTTGAGATGGCCTGATGGGTAAAGGAGCTTGCTGCACGCGCCTGGCAACCTGAGTTCAAGCCCTAGAACCCACATAAAGGAGAGAGGACCGACCCCAAAGACTTTGTCCTCTGACCTCCACATGTACTTCATGGCACATACACAATAGTAACATAAAATTTAAAATATAAAATTGTGCCAGGCCAGGTATGGGTAGTGGCACACAGTTTTATCCCCAGCACTTGGGCGTCAGACGCAGGTGAATCTCTGTGGGTGTTAGGCCAGCCTCACTGCTCCAGACCAGTCAGGAGAGACCAGGTGAGACCTGTCTTTAGAAATAGCTAAATAGATAAATAAATAAATAAATAAATAAATAAATAAATAAATAAATAAATAGATAGATAGATAGATAGATAGATAGATAGATAAATAAATAAATATAAGTAAAGTTCTTTTACCCCTTTCAAGAAGATATGTCTATAATTCTACCCAGCAAAGGTATTCAAATGAGTCCACAAACCTATATTCCAAGGACATAAAATGTGGAACTATTTACAGTAATTAAAAGGCATAAGGAACCCAAATATATTTCCATGGGGAAGTTACTGTTTTGTTTTTCCCTTTAGGAACTAGTATGAGCATCTGCCTGCATATACCTATGTGAACCATAAATGTGCCTGGTGCCCATGGAGGCCAGAAGAAAGCACCAGATCCCCTGGGACTGGGTTACAGATAGCCCTGAGCCACTGTGTTGGTGCTAGAAGTAAACCTGGGTCCTCTGCAGGAGCAGCCGGAGCTCTTCACCATTGAGCCATCTCTCCAGTCCTGGATGTTGCATTTTATGACAGTTCTAATTTTTAGTTG